TGGTACGCGTGACCGCGGTGTGGCGCATGCCACCAGCGGCGGTGGAGCTGTTCGCGGATCAATACCCGGATGGCATGCGATCCGCCCCGTGGGTGTCCGCCGCGCTGGCGACGCATTCACTAAATTGCCCCCTTGCGAGGGCGACGTGCACGTTCGAGAGGACGGCCGGCCTTTTCGGCGGCCGACGCACGGGCGGCGCACGGGCGACGAATGCGCGACGCACCTCCTGTCGCGAAGGGGGGGGGTCAGCACGCCGGTCGCTTCGCTGGGTCTTAACAATCACGACCAACTTGTCTCCGACCGAGGTGGGCCGCTTCCTCGTGGAGGGCGCGAAGATCTACTTCGGGGGACAACGTTCGGCAGATAGCTGGCCGGATCAGCGCGACAAGTTGAGGAGCATGGCGAAGAAGGCCGAGGAGAGGTACGAACTGTGGTGCGAAGCGGGTTGCCCACCTGCCAGCGACTGGCGGCTTGTGGGCGAGCCCGACGACCATCGCACGTTGTGCCACCCCTACCAGAACGCCCCTCAGCGCTTCCTCAACGAGTTTCGCTTTCACCACCAGATGACCGAAGTCCGAGAGGCTAGCGGCAGGATGCCCTGGGCCGAGGAGGACATGGGTTGGGCGTGCGATATCCATTATTGCAGCCAGGCCCTTGGCCCCCCCGGTCGCAGGAACTGGTGGTTGAACCAGGGCAGGATGGACAGGCGCACCCGGTAAGAGCGCGGTCTGGTCACGATTGCGGTACCCCGCGGGGGCGGCACGTTCGACTGGACTACGCGTCGTGATCTTGCAAAGGCTGCTTCCGGCCCGCCTGCCTGTGGACATGACGTCCCGCGCGCCGAGTGGGGGGGTAAAGGCGATGGGGGGGGAGAGTTCAGGGGTTGGAGCCGATCCTAACACTAAACCTCCACCTACGACCTCTCCTTTCGATGCCATGGCGCAGCCGCCTCGCGATGGCCCTGGCGCCGCCGCTGCTCCGCGCGCCCCGGGCGCGCCGGCAGCGATGCCCGCTGGGCCGGGCGGCGACGCCGCCGCCGCGCCCCCTCCGGGTGGCTTGCAGGCAGCCGGCAGCAGCGCTGGCCCAGCGGCTATGCGCCCGGCCGGGCCGCCAGTCGAGAGCGCGCGCGCGCCGGCGACGCCTCCGCGCGCCAAGCCGCCGGGGGCGGCGCCCGCCCAGGCGAAGCGCCCCGGCCCAGAGATCTGGGAAGCGCCGCGCGGCTACCGGGGTGCCGCCTATGAACAGCAAGCAGCAAAGAGGGCGCGCATTGCTCAGGAGTGCGCCGCCTACTGGCGCAATGACCTCGAGGGCAGCGAGTGGGGCCCCAGGTGCTGGAGCCACATCAACAAGTGATGGATCTACATCGCGGAGAACAGCGACGAGTTCGTGTGCCTGCGCGACATCCAGCGCAACCCTCGCTTCTCCGATTGGTGCGAGCGGACCGCGTGGGAGACGCGCAGGATCAGCTACGTTGGTCCTGATGGCCGCCGCGTCTGGGACAGCGAGTTCTACCCGCGCGTCCCAGCGGCGTACTTCGCGGCCGACGCCTACTGACATCTGCCGCGAGGCCCACTGCTCCAGATCGCCTGAACTTAGCCGTTGCGGAGTTCGCCTCGAGCAGTACCAGGCGCGACATCTACGGCTACTTCACTACTATCGATAAGTGGCCTCGCGAACATGTTGGTGACGTCTACGGCGCGCTCCTCAGGAGATAACTGCCACAGAGACCCAACCGTCATGACAACGTTTGCTTATGCACTTCTTCGTGTTCATCAACACGACATTGAATTTGATTTACATCTACAACGCCATGCACATTCATGAGAACGCATTTGCATACCCTCTGTGCGACAGCTGACGGAGCAATGACTGAGTTGATTCGGCTTACTCTCTTTCTGACGCCGGCGGCAGCACCCGCTGTGTCCTATCCTCGTCGATGAGGCTGGACGCAGCGGCTCCTGATGTTGCTTTCCTTGCTTCTCTCATCAGTGCCCCATTCCTTTCGTGCTTCGAGTGCCGAAGCGTGGCTTGGGGGCGCACCGAGGGGCGCCTAAAGGGTGTTCGGAAAGGATTGTGGACACTTGGATGCTCCTTCGTTCCTTACCTTGCCCGTTCGCACTTTGCAGTGGCGCTGGACAGTGGCAGAAGCGGACCTTGCTGGTGTGCTCGGGACATGTGTGTTTTTGAGGAGTAAAAGGGTGACAGGTTCTTTCTTTCTTTTCCCGATTCCTGCCCGTGCGGGCGGGATCCGGGACGGGGGGTGTGAAAGGAACCCGTCTCATACCCTCATCTCTACTCCTCGCTCGCCTTTTCGCCTGCCTTATCGGCTCAGGTGCTGGAAGAGACCATGGCGCTGGTCGCACAGGTGGAACATATTCCTATCTTTCCCTCGTTCCTCTACCTACGGATCAGGGGGTTCTGTACCTTTGTATTATAGCCCCATGCAGCAGCAG